ATTTCTGAAAGACAACACCCACCACTTATAAATAAAGCAATTTCATTGGCTGATGAACCTGACAATCTGAAACTACATTCTATTAATTTGTGGATGATTTACTGGAGATTCTGGAGACTCACACTTTCCTTGTAAATGACAGGGAATATATACTGTATATATACATATGTTTTTTTTTTATCTTTTCACTGCAAAGTATGCAAATGGGCAGAATGCAATCAAAACTACAAGTATAAAAATGAATACAAAACAGCTAAATAAATGTGAAACCAAGGGTACAAAAACGTTTTTATGTATTTTTATTTTTATTTTATAGAGAAGGCTTTGTTGGCACAGAGACTAAAATTTAGGCAAGGCAAGGCAAGGCAAGTTTATTTGTATAGCACATTTCATACACAATGGTAATTCAAAGTGCTTTACATAAAAGAAAAGAAAAAAAAATAATCACAACAATAAAACAAGGAATTTAAAAACATTGAAAATGATTAAAACAATTGATTTAAGAAGTTTAAAATTAATTTAAGAAAACGATTATACATAGAATATAGTGCAATATAGTATATAGTCAGTTCGGACATCGCACAGTGCTCATTCAATGAATGCACAGCTAAACAGATGAGTTTTGAGTCTGCATTTAAATGTGACTAATGTTTTAGCACATCTGATCTCTTCTGGAAGCTGATTCCAACTGCGGGCGGCATAATAACTAAAAGCAGACTCCCCTTGTTTTGGGTGAACCCTTGGTATTTCTAACTGACTAATCCTAATGATCTGAGTGGTCTGTTAGGTTTATATTCAGTGAACATATCTGCTATGTATTTAGGTCCTAGGCCATTGAGTGATTTAATTATAAACGAGTAAAAGTACTTTAAAATCAATCCTAAATATAACTGGAAGCCAGTGTAAGGACCTAGAGGACTGGTGTAATATGCTCAGATTTTCTGGTTCTAGTCAGAATTCTGGCAGCAGCGTTCTGGATGAGCTGCAGCTGTCTAATGGTCTTCTTGGGAAGGCCGGTGAGGAGACCATTACAATAGTCCACCCTGCTAGTGATAAAGGCATGAACAAGTTTCTCCAAGTCTTGACTGGAAACAAAACATCTAATTCTTGCAATGTTTTTGAGATGATAGTATGCTGATTTAGTTACTGCTTTGAGTAACTAAATCAGCATAGATTTAGATAGATATAGATAGATAGATAGATAGATAGATAGACTCATGAAAGTAAAGTTAGGAGGGGCTGTTTCATTGAGGACCGTTGCACTACAGCTGTCTTCTAGCCATGTTTCGTTTAGAAACATAAAATCCAGGTTGTTTGTGGTTATTAAGTCATTGATTAGAAATGATTTATTTTTTAGTGAGCGAATGTTTAAAAATGCTAACTTGATGGCATTGCATTTTGTCTCAACAGCAATATTAGTTTGATGCATAACAGGCCGCAGATTAGATAAGTCAGCCGTACGGCTTAAGAAGGCCTTAGACTTTCTATCACGTGATAAAACAGAAATAGAGAAAACTACAGGCACACTGGGTTCCCGCTTGTTCTGTAAACATTTGTGAATGTTGCTGCTATTATAGCGGGGACCCGACACATATCACTGAGAGCTGCTATCAGTTGTTTTTGGTTCACCTACAGCAGATGGAGGGTTTGGGCCCTGGCGCTGTGGCAGCGGCCGGAGAGCTCTCACAGGAGGAGGAAGACGAGCTGGGCCCACAGGCTTTGGTGGTTGTGGGGCCCGCCGTTTTTTAGTTGATATCTGGGGGCTTGCAGCAAAAGAGTGGGAGAGTCTGGTCCCAGCATAAACCAGTTCCTCCATTTTCTGTGAGAAGCTTAGAAGTGGAGATGTTGGAGAGAGGAATAATGTGTCTGGTGAGCGGGGCTCTAGCTCTGTTGTTTCCGGTGGCTGTGATATGTTGTCCTGGCTTCCCTGGCTGTTTTCCAGAAAGTCGTCCTTGGGTGCTGAGTCTTGGAGCTGTTCTGATACGTCACAGTCTGTCTGTGATGAGCTCTGTGGGAAGGGCTCAGCCGGGATGGTGTCCATGAGCAGTGCTTGTTGTGGCTGCGTGGTGTTATCAGTGTCCTTGTGGGATGTGTCAACCACATGATGACTCGGAAGCTGATATGAAGTCCTGTGGTCACTCATACTCTGTCCAGGTGTGTGTGTGCCATTCAGGTTGAGTAGTTTGGCACACACTACTGAAGGATGACGGATGGAGAAGTAGATGTTGTCCTTTAGCACTCTTGCACCAAGTTTGTTTAGGTGGAGGCCATCCAGTTTAAACAGTTGTCTATGGCCCCAGAAAAGATTGAAGTTATCGATGAAATTGACTCCTTTTAAGCTGCAGATTCTTTGTAGCCATGTGTTCAGCCCAAGCAAACGTGAAAACATATTAGTTCCTCTTGCTGGGAGTGGCCCACTGATGAACGACTGAACTTTAAGTCTTCGAAGTGTTTCAAAGAGTTCAATGAAGTCCTTCTTAAGGAGTTCTGACTGCTCTTTCCGAATATCATTCTTCCCCACATGGATGATGATTCGATTTGCAGTCTTGTGCTTCATTAGAATTTTCCGAAGTTCCTTGTTCAAATCAGAAACTGTTGCTTGAGGAAAGCAGAAAGTTGCTGAATTTCTGCTACTGATGTTTCTGATAATGGAGTCGCCCACTATCAGAGTCCTGGGCTCGGCTGCGCTCTGAGCTGAAAGCCGCTGTCTGCTCGACCTTGAGCGTCTGTTAGTAGCGATGTTAGCTGCTGGCTGATCCGATCCATGTTTAATCACATTTGGGGATTCCTCACCCGCATTCATTAATGCTTCAAATCTGTTTTCAAGATGTATAGGGGGTGGTAGAATACCAGTGTTCACAAGCCTTGTCATAGCCATATCTGGGGTAGAGGATGCTACGGCAGCAATACGAGAAACTCGTGACAATCTGATGTCTCGAGTGCCTTTGGGTCTCGCTCCCTGTTTGTGCCATCGATTAGTGTGACAATCAGTTTCGGCTTGTTCCTCTACACTTGGTATAAACTGTTTAGATTGACTAGGTTCATGGGACTCACCGGCTGTATGCTGAGGGGGTCCGTGACAATGGTCTGCTGAGTGTTCTGCCTGTTTTGGAAGTCCAGCAAGTAACTTTGTTTCAAGAACCGCGATCCTTTGTAGAAGTTTGCAGTAGTTCATGCAGCAAGTAGATTCAACAGAAGGCATTTTCTTTGTCTTCTGTTTGAATGTGGGCAGCTGTGTTTTCCCTTCTCCGGAATGTAAGCTGCTGGCAGTGGGAGGCAAAAGTTTTCTTTTTCGTGGTATTATTCCAGTCCCAGAGAGTTTTTTGTTTTAGTGTTTGTGCCAAAAATATGTTGTTTGAGCACTGTGCTGATCTGCTGAAGTAAAAATCTTAGAAAAATCAAAGAAAAGTACAGAAATAGGGAGCAAAGCGCAGAGCAGTAAGCAAGAACGTCCGAACGGTAGCGAAGCCGGAAGCTTTTTTCAGTACAAAAAATTTAGTACAAAAAGTGCAAATAAAGCCCCACAAAATAATTTTCTATTTTCCTTTAAAGTCAAACTCAACATCTGTACAGAAGTTATGCTCTGTGAAGGCTGGATGGGACATACGTAGCATCACAAACTTGGTCTGATGAACACTTCAAATGGGCAAGTAACTATATGTGTGCAAGATATATAGTAGAAATATAAATATTTATGTCTATTTCATTTTGGTGTGCAAGTTTCCCTTCAGTGTTTCTAATATGTTTGTTTCAGTTCCCTGTGTTTGTTCCCTTTGTTGTCATGGTAACTGATTGCTTAGTGCACCTGTTTCTTGTTCAGTTTGTTTCTCCTGTGTATTTAAGCCTGTGGTTCTCAACTCTGGCCCTCGAGGTCCACTGTCCCGCAGAGTTTAGCTGCAACCCTAATCAAACACACCTGAACAAGCTCATCAAAGTCTTCAAGATCACTACAAAGTTACAGGCAGGTGAGCTCGATCAAGGCTGGAGCTAAACTCTGCAGGAAAGTGGATCTCGAGGGCCAAAGTTGAGAACCCCTGAAGCACTACTTGTCCACTACTATCTTTGCTTGATGTGAAGCTGTTATATTGTTTTGTTTTGTTTGTTTTCTTATGGACGGCTTTCATGTTGGGTTACCTTCTTTGTTTTTGTTAATAAAGTTATTGCAGCTGTTATTATTCCCTCGCCTCTTGCTTGCCTTCGCCTCGCCTGCCTGTGCCAATACCCTTGTGAAAAAAGTACCCTTCAGATTACTTTTAAAAGCAGTACTTATTATGGAAATAATATACTTTAAAAGAATGAACTTAAATAATCAAATGAATGTCATGTTTTCAGGCTTTTAATTGCATTTTAAACTGAAAATGTGCAATAGTTTAATTTATATTATAGTAATTGCATTACATTTATATTAAATGCAGTTAGCTGAACTTCTGAGTGTTTTTGATCCACTTAAGTATGAATTAAGTACATCTTTAAAAGTAATTTCATAATTACCTCTATTGTCTTTGAAATATGGTTTATAGAACACACATTTATGGTAACTGAGATATACTGTCATTTCTATTGACACTTAAACGTTGCATATTTAAATTAAGTTTGTGATTACACATTTGTAATGAAGAAGGTCATATAAAATTATTTGTAATATTTGGTCAATTATAATCAAGTACTTTACATATGCTAGTCAGCACATCAAAATAAGTGTACTTCTATGAAGCACAGCAAATTATTATGATTAAAAAAGCATCATCCACACCATTTATCATCCAAATTTTTGTCAAATCAACATATGTGTTCATGTTACATTGATGTGTGTGAATGATTCGTTTGCTGTTGGATCATAACGTGTTGCATGGTAAGGTGAGGCCGCAGTGACTCGCTGCTAATATGAGGAGTCTGATAGATGAACGCACCTCTGTAGGGACACACCAAAGTTACACATTTACAGAGGGGTGCCCATCACTGACATCACAGCAGACGGAGGGTATAAATCCACACCGACACTCACCTGCACAAGCACAGGAACGGACGCCTAGCCCGAACAAAGGACTCCGAGACGCCAGACCCATCTCTCACACTACTGTGGACTGTATTTGACTGAATTATGTGTTCTGGAAATTTCGCCAAATGCCTGGGGATAACCCTCATCCCACTGACCATCATCTGTATCCTCTGCAACATTCTGCTGTTTTTCCCGGGTGGTAATGTGGCCGATGAGAGCAGCAACATCACGGATGAAGTCTTTTATCTCGGAGGAATTCTGGGATCTGGTGTGGTGGTGAGTGGATGAGCGAATGCAAATAACTTCTTGTAAGAGGAAAAGAGGAAAACTAAATACTATCAATGTCGAATAACTCTTAATTTGAGCTCAAATTTCTGTAAAAAAAAAGTTTCCGTAAATTCATTAAAGAAACAGTTTACGTAAAAATGGATTTGCACATACATTTGCTCTGTTCCTGTTTCATGAATGATTCAGTGATTTTTTCTTTTGTACTTCACTGTTTGTGATTTCTTTTAAGGCTTTCATTTATTGTAGAAATGACCTTATATGCAAACGTTCACCTTTAAGTAATGAGCTGGTCTTGGTTTAGATGATTTTCCCTGCACTGGTTTTCCTGGGCATGAAGAACAACGACTGCTGCGGCTGCTGTGGGAACGAGAGCTGCGGAAAACGTTTTGCGGTGAGAAGTGCCATCTGAGGAGTCCATGTGACAAATGACATTTTCACACCATTCCTCAACACAATGATCACGTTATTCTCGCCATTTGAGAATTCCCACCAGAAAAGGCCTTTCTGAGTGAAATATTAGAAATATGCATTTGTATTCTTACTCTTACTTGTAAGTGATTTCCGCAACACATACCGTTTCAAAAGCACCACTAGTACTGTAATAAATTAAAGAAACTGGAAGAAACATTCTGATATACAAGATTAGACACAGTAAAGCTAACAGGGAGTACCTGTATGTTATGTTTCAGTTTTTACATTTGGTTTGTTTTTTAATCTAGATGTTCGGCTCCATTCTGTTCGCCGCGGCCGGAGCTGTGGGCGCTGCTTACTCCGTTATTGTGTCTTGTGTGGCCATTAATCACGGGCCCAAGTGCTTCACTACCTATCTCAACGGGACCGTCCAAGCAATTAACGTCACTTACCCATTTGCCGACGGGTGCGTGTTTATTATCAACTGAAATGAAAGCAAGTGATAATCCAGTAGCTGTAATGTAACAGCTGCCGCCTGGTTTCTTTCTTTCAGGAACTACCTGTCCAACAGAACGCTGTGGGATCTATGCGACGGTCCGGGCGATATCATCACGTGGCATCTGACCCTGTTCTGCATCCTGCTGGTCACTGGTCTGGTTCAGATCGGTCTGTGTGCTTTCCAGGTCATCAACGGGCTCATCGGCACCATCTGTGGAGACTGCTGCGGCTGCTGCGGGGTACGCGTGAACTCTGATGATGATAATAATAATGATAAATCGTCCACAGGCCTTATATCTTTCATCATTAGTTTGTAGCACTGAAATAACCTGACCTTGTGTTCATCCGCAGGACTCCTAAACCACTCAGAATGGACTTGGCTCAATGAATCTTCAGGACTAATCATACATCCATATCTGTAATTGTCAACAGTTTTTCACCTCATAATTTGTATTTATACTGTTTAGATGGATGTTGTTTTCTTCCGTGTTTGCTGTATACCACATCTGCCTGATGAAGGCAACAGATATTTTTATAAAATAAATAAAAATATTATTTTATTTATTATATTATATTGTTATATATAGCCTATATATGATGTTTCATATAGATTTATATGATATAGGATATTGATAAATAGTTTATTGATACGTATTGTAAAGAATATTGAATATTTATTCAAACTGTAGGAGAATGTTATTTTCGTACAAGTATTTAGTCTTTTTTATTGATGGATAAAGGGAGCGTGCAAATATATGGAATATTTGATAAAAGATAGGTTTTATCTCAGGAAATTGGTTGAAATGTAGTAAAAGAATATTTGACACTTAATAAACTCTTGATTTAAAAAGCTGTCCGTGTTGCAACTTGGGCTTTTCCGTCTCACTCAGCAAGATTTGTGGGCTTTTGACTCAGAGAAAACAAGAAGCAGCAGGAGGGACAGTGAGAGGATCTGGGAAGCGCCCTGACAGACTCTGGAGAGTTCAGGGTTACTTCATAAACAACAGCTGGCCTGCTGTACATGATCTGCAACTAAATATGCAAAGAGCGTGCAATAACATGATGCGCAAGCTGAAACTGCACTCGCACGTTCTTGATAAGAGTTCTTAAGCAATGCTATAACTTATTTCCGAGTTATTGCTTTCTGGGCAAAGTAAATGTTTGTTGTTCCGCTGGTGTCATGTTGATATGTTATCAGGGGTTTTATGAGGGGAATGTTATTTTATGATGGCTTTATAGGTAACAACTCTCATCTTCACACAAGAATGATTAACTTCATGCTCTATGATGCATGTGACTGATGCTTTATTACTGATAAGCTTTCCCCCGATACTTTTTGTAGCAAACTAAAAATATTACAGCTGCATGATAAATGATTTGTTTCTCAGTGGAACGGAAACGTTTCACAGCAAATAGTCAGACCTGCAAATATCACTTTAGTAGTAAAAACAACATTGCAGAATCTTCACAAAATAATTTCCCATTAGGGGCATGTAGTACATATGCAATTATACAGTAACAAACACAAACGTAAAATGTGATTAACTTTAATTGTGTACACAAACTTCTGACTTAAGCAGTAATAGAGAATCACTCTAGAGACCCCTGGTGGACACCTGAAGAATTTGGCTGGACAGTATTTTTTTTGTCTTTATGAGTAATTTAGAAACCAGTTTGTTTGATGAGGTTTTCTCACTTTCAGAAGCATATTAAATAATTTTATTTTTAAATGTTTGTTTTTCTTATTGGACAATCGGCCACATTGCATATACCCATTCATAATCTACCCATTATATTTTACATTGTCTACATGCACTTATTATTCAGCGTTAGAATTGGTTGGCCTTGTGGTTCAGTCAGAGAAGAAGACAACTTTATTTGCATTATACACCTGTTTAATATTCAATAAAAACCGATCCTACACTGTAAAAAAAAAATACTGTAAATTTACAGTAACTTACTGGCAATTTTGGTTGTCAGTAAGACTGTAAATTTACAAAAGTACTGTAAATCAATAATTACAATTGTACTGTAAAAAAAACAGCAAACTGTTTTTTTACAGCTATCACTGTAAAATTACAGTAGAAATGTTTATAAAGTGAAATTACAAGAGCAACTGTGAACTTGTAATGCTATACATACATTTTACAGTAAATTAGAACATTTGCCGTGAAATTCAATTCACTAAATTAACTACAATTGAGATGTTTCACTGCTGTGATAGTGTGTAAACATTTGGTTAACTTATTTCATTTGAGTCCACTGAGAAGGAATATTTCTTAGTATAAAACTGCAAACACTTAATGTGTAATAGTAAAGTAACTAAAAACAAGACTTTAACTCAAATCGTTGCAGTTTATCGTCAGCTATAGCACACATGTATAAGCTGAAGCACTTAACAAAGAGATCATCGCTGCATCAACTCCACAGTTACTGTCTTTAAATAAAGCAGCAGAACATCAGTGTTTGAGGCTCATCATTGACTGAAGCACAGGCTCTACTCTCCAGCACAATGGTGACCCACTAAACTACATTAAACTAACAGATCTCTCTTGTGCGAAAACACACTAATACAGTTCAGTTCAATATTTACTCTCCTTATAGATAATTATGTGAATTATTAAGTGCTGATTGTGCTTTAGAGATGAACAGCTGCTGTTAACAAGCAGAATCACTGAATGAAAGAGAAACACCAGCACTAACTGACTTCTGCCACAGCCTTAGATGAAATCAACTGAAATAAAAGACATTAAATCTCCCAATATCTGATTAATCAACTCCTAAAACAGCATTACCAGCTTCACACATTACAAT